GGCATTCGAATACTTTTGTTGAGCGTGAACTTGCATTTGAAGCAAGTATTGCGAGCTTGAGAATCTTTGGTAATGGTGTGTCACAACTTGAATCTTTATGAAAACCCTTAAGTTTCAGGTATTTGGAGTTTCAAGCAAAGCATGGACACTACTTGGCAAGAAGGAACAAGGCAGCTGAAAAGAACGAAAAAATGAAGGCCTGAAGATCGCCGAACCCAGTTGGCGAGTCACCGATCAACCTGGAGATCGCCTTTTGTTCCAGTGTGCTGAGCCCTGAAGGGAAAGATCAAGTTGGCGATGAAACGGAGCAGTCGGCGTGCCACCGAGTAGTTCCGTGAAGCAGTACTATATCGCCCAACGACTCAAAGCGCGAAGATGCTGAAGGCTAAAGCAAGAAGGCGATGAAATCGACCAAAAGGCGGATCGCCGAGTGCATCGGCATCCCGAGTAACTGCGCTGAGTGATCCGCGGCAGCACAAATTTTCAAACACTATAAATACTTATTTAAATTGTTAAATTAGTATCAAGTCATATACAATTATTATTCAGACTTAGAATATTTTCAGTTTCAAGTTTTAGAGGGTTTTGGAGACTTTGTTTTTAGACCTTGAAAATTCAAATGGTTTCATCTCCAGGAAATTGGACTTGGGTCTCAAAGATTCTTCACTCTTAACGTGTTTTAAGACTTAATTCTTCATACCAATTGATGGAAATTGATATTGGTATAAATTTTTATCTCTTCTACATGTCTAGCTAAAACCCCAATTCTTGGGGTGTGATTTTGTGAATATGGGTTAGATTATCTGTTAGGTCTTGCTTGTTGATGGTTTATTTGTTGTTTAAATGTGATTTCGTTTAGTCGTTGTGCATGAACTTAATGGTATTGTAGTTGTAAATACGATTTCATCTTAGTGTTTTTGGCTTGCTCGAGAGAGGTCGTAAAACTAAGACTACTAAATTGATAGCCGGTGGTATTGGGTCGATATGGGTTCAGCTCGAGAGAGTGAATCCTAGTACTTTTCCTACTATTCATTTGGAGAGAGTGAATGGGCTAAGGCGGAGGCTGTGCTCAATGCGGTAGCTCGGTGTTCAAGAGAAACCGAGTTGATTCGGGGTAACTTGCTCGAGAGAGAATTTACCCCCTCTATAGTCTAGTCTAGTCACAAATGTTCAACAATCTACCATTAAAAGCATGTACCCGATAGTCTAGTTTATCCCGTATTCCTATCACGTCCTAAGAATTTCTTCTCCTATCTCGTTTCCTTATATTTTTGCTGATTTTAGTTGTTAATTAATACAAACCCCCATTGATAATTGACGCTTGCGTCATCCTTTAGATTTAGTATGTTTTTAATCGTTAATATCTATAATTATGACTAATTAGAACTAGATTTTATTTTTCTATTAATTCTCAAAATCACTCCCTATGGGAACGATCCCAAGCCTTGGTTGGGTTATATCACTACACGCGATCGTATGACACTTGAACCGAAATAGTGTCAGTTGATTACGTCTTAAAATCACAGCTAAAGCACAGTAAATATCCAAGGTTTTAGAAACCCTAGCTCTAAACAAAATATGGAGAATCAAGGAACTGGCTCAATTCTAGGGACCTAGTAGATGAAAAGAGCTGATGAGTCCATGATTTGGACTCATTTAGGTCTTTATTTTAATAGATTTAGTGTCCTCAAGTGCATATTTTGTGCCAATAATTGATGTAAATTCTTGTTTTTCAGGTATTTGGATTGAGGAACAAAGTATGGACACTAATGAGCAAAAAGGAACAAGGCAGTTAAAAGAACGAAGAAAAGAAGGCCTGAGGATCGCCTAAACCATTGGGAGAGTCGCCAAATGGCCATGGTCTCGCCTAATGTTCCAGTGTGCCAAGCCCTGAAGGAGAAAATCAAGTCGGCGATAGAGAGGAGCAGTCGGCGATAGAGAGGAGCAGTCGGCGAGTCGCCGAACGGTTTCGCAATGCAGTACTAGATCACCCAAAGTTACAGAGCTTGAAGTTGCTGAGGCCAAAGCAAAAAGGCGATGGAACTGACTAAAGGGCAGATCGCCGAGTGGATCGGTGATCCCGACTTATTGAATGGTCCTTCGCAGCACATTTTTTGGCGACTATAAATACATGTTTGAATTTTTTTGTTTAGTATCTAGCATAAAATATCAGAGTTTTGAGAATAGAATTATTGGTTTTGAACTGAGTTTTGAGACAATATTTTCTTAGCTTTGAAGATTTTCATTTTTCTGAGAAATTGGAAGTGGATGTTGAAGATTCTTCATCTTAGACCTTTGTAAAGACGAATTTAATCGTACCCTGTTGATGGAAACACAATTTGGTAACGATTTCTATCTTTTTATGATGTCTAGCTAAAACCCCAATTCTTGGGGTGTGATTATGAGTTGATTTA